CCCCACTACACAAGACTCCTCATGGTCTGCACATGATGCAGGGGATTTTCCCAAATGGTTTTTTACAAAATGTATTTAGGAATTAACTACCTCTTGTTGCAATAGATGATCGCTGTGTTCTAGCCAACCTGAAAGTCCTTCCCGTCATCTCTATTTTCTTTGAGGCAACATCAATTCGAGCACTAAAAATTCTGAAATCTTAACCCTCTGAAATGCTATTTCCTGCATTTCGAGGGGCAAATGTTGCTCAGCTGATACACTAAGCTTAGTTCATTTACATCTCATTCCGTATCTTAACACTCTAATTTTTGTCTGTCAAAGATGAGGGATTGGGCAAAATTTTTGTCCGTCACGCCTGCAAAATTCCATCATAATAATTATGGAAAAACGGATGCTGGATGATCGTCTGGTAACTCATTGACACAGTGTAGAGGTCGGTCCTCTGACATTGGAAAAGCACGAGGGGAGGCAAGATTAGCCTTCATAGCATGTCAAAAACTGGGGGTTTAGGGGGTCTTCGTGGTCTTTGGGAGCTTTTATGTGCTATTTTCTGATTGCATATAGACAACATAGCCGGCCTGGTTGAATTACCCCCATTTTTTTTAAAACTGGGCTAATCAGAAAACAGCCGAAGACCACCAAACCCCCCCAGTTCGATAAGCCTGCTACGGAGGCTAGGCAAGATGAAGTTACAGTTCTGCAGAGAGATATCGAAGAAGCTCATGAAAGATACATCAAACAGGGTCGTAATGGCCTGCCACCTTGGACGTGGCCCTGGTTATTGGAAAGTGTGCGATTTTCCTGGCTTCCTCATAACCCGAGCGGGTCACGTATCGATTAAGCCATCGTTGGGACATGATTATCTAGGGGATAGGATCAGGGTGGATCAGCTGCTTGTTGATTGCATACGGTAATGAAGAGTTGGGCTGAATTATTATTAGGAGGCAGGTAACACTATAGATTGGTTACTCTCCAAGCAGAGGTTTGGGTTTTGGGGGTATTTTTAGCGTGTTTTTAGGCTTTTTTATCGGGGTTTCTCTTTTGCACTGAATTTTTTTCCCCACCAAACCCAACTGGTGGGAAAAAAATTCAGTGCAAATGAGAAACCCCAATAAAAAAGCCTAAAAACACGCTAAAAATACCCCCAAAACCGAAACCTCTGCTTGGAGAGTATAGATTGGTAGGGTGACTGGATTACTCATTACCTATCCTTGTAGATTTGGCCATACAAATTTGATTTTACTGTGTAATTCCAGTAGTATTTAGTAGCATGTTGTAGCATTTTTTCCAAATCAATTTTCATCGTCAATCAACAATTTGATATGCCATTTATTTTAGCATGGTCCAAATCTTAATTGCCTACGTGAAAAAGGCAAACTAACAATGTCTCACTAGAATTGTTTTAACTATACAATGTAGTAACATTTAATGATCATCAAATTAAAGTTTACTTTACGAGGATATTTAATTTGGTACATATTTTCTATCAGTTACAAAGCTTCTAAGGGGTAACCATCTATAAGCAGTAGTAGTAGTAGGCATCTTTCTATCTCAAAAGATGATGGTAGCACTCTAGGTCTGGTGTTGTGGCCGCATGCAAGTCTAGTGTGGCTTAATGACAGCCTTATCTTCGCATGGCAGCCCCTGGCCCCTGTTAGTCTGTATGTATAGATTTGCAAATATAGTAGAAGCTAGAGCTTCCTTCAGACACACATGCACACGTCACGTACTAACAGATATACACACACACACAGCTGGCTACTGTGAGGGATGATGTCACATAGCTTACCCAACATGTATTCATGTCCTCTAGGAGATGCCAGACATAGCATAGGGGTCGGGTTACCATTCAGGGGACTCCCATTTACTTATTAGGCCGTCACCCTACTCAGGTAAAAGACAGTAAAAGAGAAGCTAATACAACTAATGGTGGAATTTCTACTGGTTGTGGATTCTTATCCCATATCCCTCAGCTACTAGTAGAGGTCTTCATAATAATTTAAAACTTTGTAAAATTGCTATGGCTCTTTATATAAGTTTTAAGAATCCTCAAAATTTTGTAAGTACATTTGTATATGATATTATGTAAATCAGTAGTGCTGGTAACAATTTGTCAGTTATTTTGTATTCAACCTCGATATTGTGTATAACAACGATTTTCTTCTACGATCCCTACCCTCTGCCTTGCCTGGTGGTATCTCCCATATCCCCCTTATAGATGTAAGTAATGGTACGTTCTGCTTGCTATCTTTGCTGTGATTGGTTAGTATCCAGAGCTTGCCTGGCCTGTGTCACCGCCTCCTCTGTCTGTAGTGGAATTTCCAATGTCGGAGGGAGAGGCACCTTGCGCTTCCTCAGTTTTGGATCATGTGGTAAGGCCAGCACCGATACATTACTTCATACCCATGCCATTTGGGGATTTTTCCTTCCTTAGCTTTCTCAGAGATTTATAACCTTTGAAGATTTCTGTCCAGTAGATCGGTTACTGATTCTACAAACTGTAGTCGGATGTTGAGGGTTATATACATTTTGTATATGAATTATCACTAGTCATGCTGTAGTAAACATCATGATTTGTATTATGTAACTTCTGCTGCTAGCTATTGTGATATATTTCAAACTTCCAAACATGCATGACGAAAGTTGTTTTTATCATGCTTGTAAACATTTTAGTACACAGTAGGCCGGTTCAATCTTTTCCTGCCTACACATCACGGATACCACAGAATATTATTCAGGTCATTCATAAATCATATTATTGATGTATGAGACAGGAAGATAAGATGGATCAGCAGTATTTCAATGTGACCTGATTTCTAATAAGTATTAGGGCTGGATGCTGGATAATTCCATAATGGCATGTTGATTAGATAAGCTGGGAGGAGATGAATTGAGAGATGACCCAAGGTTTTGCCCTGTGTCTCTATGCTAGTTGGTCAGATGCTCTAGCCTGGTTACCAAACCAACTTTAGCTTCGCCGTTATCTCTCTTTTATGCTCTTCGCAAATAGGACATAAGAGACTCGGCAGCTAAAACAGGTTTGGTAATAACCAGGAAACAATGCTTCATAGGTTGTAGTGTGATGTGTGGTTTACCTGAATAGTAAGTATAAAATGTATCTTCTGACTCTCTGAAAAGAAGAAAAATTCATGTATGAAAAATGAAATAAGGTATGAAGAAAAATTGATAGAAGAAAAAGAAAATAAGGTCGGGAACATCTTTATTTATATCCTTCTATTTGACGTGATAATTCATGTTTATGTATTGTATTTGATTAATTATTTCTTGTGTATCCATTATGGTTTTACCTGCAGAATTATGCAAATGCAAACGTGCAACTAAAAGTCGGTCATAGGTTATGAACAGCTTACCTCAGTCTGTTATATACTGCCAGGGTAGCTATATTAGTTTTGAAACAGATGGTCCACTATGACAGATAGAAATGCTGGGAATTCTGGAGATGCATAAAATGGTTGAAAACAGGTTTTGTATTATAGTTATTGTTTTCTTACTTTGCGTTGGTCCTTGTTGAAGTTGTCAGCAAACACTTGACTCTAGGCTGGCCTCTGGAGGATAGTATGGATCTGGTAAGAGTTAGGGTCATTCTTACTTTATATATACAGCTATGCTTGATGAATGGCAGATGTAGGTACTAGTAGACTGTGGAAACAGTTAGGGAAATTCCACACTGTACACGCATGCAGACTTTTCCAGCCATCCTGCATTCAGCATCCAAGTTGTTTACAACATGTCGGATCAAAGCAGCCGAACAGTAAAAATCTTAAAGCTTGTTTATTCAAGTGAGCTGGTGTGTAATTCTTTCAAGCACAATCACTGAATGATGAGTTACAACTGCTGTAGGAAGAGTGTGAAGGCCAGGAGGTTTATTTGCTGCACTGTGTTAGTGCAGTGTGGCAAGGCCACTTGGGGGAGGGGACGGCTGCCTTGTTTAGAATAACCCTGACCGTACTGTGAACTCGTATTTGAGTACTGAGTCTCATTACAGTTTAGCATGCAGACGTGTCTACTGCTTGGCGCAGTCTTGCATCATGTGCACGTATCAGTGTACATCTGTTTGCCTGTACAAAAATAATCTCCAGTTTATCCTAATGCTTTAGATTTTTGATGTACCGTTACCTTTGCCAAGAATGTTTTTGATAGTACATGGATGGTTGTATATACATTGTAAAGTTTGTATTCTTTATACATGTACAATGTCTGGTCACCATATTGTCTATGGGTTACTGGTACAATATTTGATACATTTTCATACATGATTGAACCACTGGCTAGAACAACTTTGAATTTGGAATGTTTCAGAATTCAGATTCCTGATACATTAAATACTGCAGTTAGGATAGAGTAGTTGATCTATTCTAGCACTAAATACCATCACAGTACAACTGGATGCTTTGGCTTCTGCTGCAATACCCCTGCATTGCCACTATGTGTCTAATTATAAAACAGTAACTTGAGTATACTGAAACATTCAAAGGTTAAGCCCAATGTCAAACATTAGATGATGTAAAAATGGCCTGTATTGCATTATTTACTTGCCCTTGCTAAAAGCTATGTGAGTCTGGTGTTGTTTTCAAGGTGCTGTAACAAAAAATCAATACAATGTACAATCAAGGTGCTTTTATCAGAAGGTGCATTTCAACTTGATCCAGATCGGCTAACCAACTCCACTTTGATTTCAGTCACTGTTGAACGAAAAGATGAAAGAGAGATGTGTCTTGCAAATCACTGGCTGAGATCATACTGAAGAGAAAAAAAATTGTCTTTTTATCTGGTTTTGTTAGAGTCAAGAAAGAGATCATAATGCAACAATATAGACAACATGCAAGTCATTTCTAATTATAATGTGATAAGCTAGATCTATTTCCTGGTACATTTGTATAGTTTCTGGTATGTTCCTACTCCTTTTCATGTCCCAGAAATAGCCCTGACTGTCTTCCTTGTCCTGACATTGTCGTAAATTGTACTGTTTGTTTTTTTAGGAGCGGGGTGTGCAGATACCCAGGCCAGTCAGCCATGGACCAAGTTCCTTCATCCCAGAACATGAGGTGAGAGAAACACCCATATTATTTGCTGTGTTGTTGAATTTAGATTGAACCCTTGGGGTCATCTCAAGGTCTTGTTCCAGGAACTATGTTTTCTTTTTGTGTGGTAACATGCAATGTATTGTGTGAACCTGGTTACAATACAAAGACAAGAAAAAACAAAAACATACCCACCGACAATAGCAGGATAGCAATGGATTTCATTTGACATGGGTAAGTTCACAACAGGAACCTGCTAATAGCACAGATGACACCTGCTGCAAGCACACAATAGACACCTGCTAAGAATACATACATTTGTGACATACTAGTAACATACATATGCTGATAGCACGGATGTCACCTGCTGAGAGTACAAAAGACACCTGCTGAGAGCACAACAGACACCTGCTGGTAATGTACAGCAGACACCTGCATGTTACACATCGCTGCCACCTGTATGCTGCAGACACCTGCAGATAGTACACAGCAGACACCTGCAGATACTACACAGCATACACCTGCAAGACAGAACTATCATCCAACATTATGATAACAAGCACTTGCAAATGGCCTCCAACAGTCATCTTTACAGTAGATTGCTTCCTAATCAACTCTGTTTGGGGTTGAGATGGAGTTTTGAAACATTCCCTATTCTGTCAGGTGGCTTAATAGATTCCCCTCCTCAGAGATGAAACAGCAATTGGATTATTGGTGAGCCATCCCGGAGTGGGATGTAATATTGCTGTCCACATCCCAATGGGAGGCTTACACGTGTAGGAATGCTGAGTCTGCTACATGTTAGGAATATCTTCTAGAGATGCTTCAAAGTGTCTCTTTGCTTTCAGGTAAACCAGTTGTAGGGTCTTCTTGATGTTTTATGCATGTAAGTGGTTCTGTCAAACTCCTTGGTGTCTGGAATGTTCCAAATCTAATGTGAATGACCTTTTCCTACAAAACTCCTTCACTCAGAAAAACCCTATGTCTCCCTCCACAACGTTATGGCCATTAGTACTGGGGGCACCTTGAACTGAAGTGCCCTTCACCTCAAAGGCTCCTTTTTCCTCATTAGTATAAATCGATTCTTCTCCCATCCCCCCTTCAAACAGAAATGGAGCGGTCTGGTTATTTGGTACAAAGAAAAAACTCTGGCAAGGAATTGTGGGAATAAATTCTTGCACCTACCAGTAAATGATGGACGTCCGTCCTGGGTTCAGCATGGGAAAGGTCGCGACCTTATGATAATCATCATGGCGGATGTAGTTGCCTCACTTTGATGAGCAATTCATCTGGATGACTGAATTTACCATGAAAAATAACGGACGGGAATATAATGGATATTGATGGTGGTGTGGGTGGTTTTCTGTCATAGATCTAACATAAAGATTGTAACTTTGTGTCATAAATTCAGTCATGATTTTTTGACAGCATCACATGTGAAAAGGGCTTGACATTTATAATGTTGAAAAACTTGTCAAGATTATTCCGCAAGAATTAGGGCGAGGAGGAAAAAAGTTGACAGTTTTGGCGTAAAAAGGTGTCAATATTCATAACTCACACTGTATGCTTGTACATATAATATAGAAGTGGTATTTAGGGCAAGAACATTTATCAAAGTACTGTCTTGAACTGCATTTTTTTAGAAGCACTGTCCCTGTTTATATCACATTTTATAGTGCTTGGTACATTCTGTAGGACATACAGTCATATACATGTATCTTGCATGTCAAACTAAAGCTGTAGGAAAATCAAATTCAATGATGAAACGATGAATTTGTTGAAGCCATCCCAAACCCAACCTTTGTAGGAGTAATAATGGGAATGCAGGAATGTAAAGATCATGCATATATGTGAGTTCCATTTGTTTAATATCTGTCAATAGCATTAGAGTAATACATCAATCAATAAGAGTTGTTGTACATTGTATAATCACTATCAATAATAATAGCAGAGCAGCACCCCTCCAACTCTTCGGCCATGCCCCCCACACCAATTTAATCAATCATTGGTTCTCTGATTCACCCGCTTCATTTTTTTTCTGATTTGCAAAAAAAAAAGGATTTAGGTTCTGAATCAACCCCCAAATGTTTTGGCCCAAACAGTTGAAGAAAGCTAGTTGTTACAGTTTTTCTATCTATCAATTATTGGTTTGATAAAAAGTTTAAGATAAAAAAAAAGAATCATACAAACATTTTGGTCTTTATAATTTAAAACAGTGAAGAGAAACGAAGAGTTAAAAAATCTCAGCAGATATAAAATGTCCAGGCCTTTTCTCTTTATATACCTCACTCTCTGCAGAAAAAGAGTTGAAATTCTCTAATGCTTCGGTACTCCTTCTTTTGTCCTTTTGTGTGTTTTCTCCCACCTGTCTTGTGCATACGGTTGTTTCATTTAATCCTTTCCCAGGGTATTATCATATATTCCCCCCAATTAAAGAAAAAAAGCTATAACAAATTCCTTCCCAGTAAGTCATAGTATCCTTAATGAAGACAAAGTGTTTTGTTCGGATAGATTCCTATTTTGTGTACGTTGGATTCCAGCCTTTTTAGCTTTTTTATTTTGTACGATAACAATCAGTGGAAGAGCATAAAAGGTAACCAGACTGGCATCCAGTCTAATTTTGTGTTTGTACGTGACTCAGGGCAACGCCCACAAGAACAAAACAAGAAAAAGAATTAATTGTGCTGTACATCGCAAGTGATGTGGAATTACTAAGTACTGGTTATATGTGTGAAGACAAAGATCGTGACAATAGGGTTGGGGCATTGAAAGGACTGTACATGCTTGCATTACCACAACTGACAAGCATGATTATGAACAACTGACAAGGCAACGATTACAATAGAAGGTTTGACGTAAGATGCTACGTGTGATTCTAAATGAATTCAAAGAGCTTAATATCTTTTGTACACGATGTGCCATTGACTTAAAATTAAAGCAAAGTCTACCAGTATCCAAGAGTTCTTACCCAGACAGTCCTTACTTATCTAAACAGTAAAATTATACACCATTCATTGATGATAGAAACAGACTGTTGCAGAATTAATTGTATATATTGTCTGCCAATGTGGTTGGAATATCCTGGTAGCACAACAAGAAGTAGGGCTCAGGTCATATTCATGGTGGAAATTTCCTCCATGTGAGCCTTCCCAGCATGCAACTGCACAGGCCTGCTTGCGGCTGCTCACCCCTGTGCAGGGCCCCCTAGGTCACCTTGAAACAAGCAGGATTCATTTTGCCATCTGGTGGAGTCTGTGGATATGTGTCTTTATAAAGGTTACGTTTGCATCGCTATGATGAGAATGTTGCATGTGTTGGATTGACTTAGAAAAACCCCAAGGTCCTTAATTATTTCTTTATTCCAATCTTAAGAGCACCCACCTGTTAATTATCAAACCGTTACTGGACAAAGTACTATAATTTCATATAAGCAAAAAAAATTATACAACACGTATGATTACCTAAATGTTTCCATGTCAGAAAAAAATGATAAAACTGCAATGAGGCTTGTGTAAAGAAAGTAAGATATTAAGAAATCTAAGTAATGGCGATCATTCTGTAGCATTGGTGTTCACCTATGGGTACCTGAAATTATTGATTAGACAGTTATTGGTGCATGCAGTATGGATAGGTCATAGGAAGTCTGGTGCCTTGGATAAAAATTGATTTTTTTTTTCTTCAAACATTACCCCAGACATGGTTAATTCAACTTGCTTGGGTGTAAACGGATGACTAGAGCAATTGTGACAGACAGTAGGTTACCAGTACTGGTGACACAGTAGTTGTGAGGCAAATGAGATTTTAACACTGCTGTAAAGACCATTTCTTCTGGGTCAGAAGGTCAACAAAAGCATTCAGCACCCTGTAGGAGAATTCAGTACTTCCTTTGTTGAATATATTCTGTCAGATTATGATGCAGGATACAAAGGGTTGTGTGCAAAAGAAATTTTAGACACAATAGATGATGCACAAGAGGGATAACTAGACTTGTTGCTAAACTGGTCAACAGAAGACTTTGAAAAGTTGCTGTGCTATTTTCTGGACAACAAAGAAAAAGAGGCTTCCTGTGTGTCCTCAAATTTAATTACAGGGCGCTTAGGAGAAAAGAATGTATGTCTACAGACTGACATAAATACATGCATACATGGACACCTGCTGTGAAAATTATCATGATTTTTTTACTGGCACCTGTCAAGGGGACTGCCACTGTCTTTTGTGATGATATGCACAGATAAAAAGTTTCCAAAACCCTTAGTGTAGAAATTATGTTTTCTGCTCGTTTCATCCTTGTGAGTTGTGACTATGAAAGTATGATACAATCATCATTTTTTTCCTTGGTTATAGGTAGGTTATTTTTTGTGACATTGAGGTGAACATAATATGTAGCCGAGGTCCGTCTTGAGTGTAAGGTGTTCCAGTCATTGATCATACATGTAGCTGTTTTCATGTCGTGATATTTGTGGGAAAGCGGTGCCTACATAGTTTTGGCAGGGCATGTCTTTCTCACGTCTGTCATCGCCTTTCAAAACCAGTAAATCTGCTACACTACAATGGGTCAAAGTAAGCCATTTGGAGAAGATTGGAAGTCACATGCCCATGTAGAGGGTTGATCCTGAGAGAATGCATGTCTCAGATATGGTGGATAAGTGATGTAGTACCATGTCAGGCTGGCTTTTCCTGCCAAGCCACTGTGTTACACTCAGATGCTGGCTCATTGACAAGTGTGGTCACATGAGCTAAAATGTTAGATCAGAAACTGTGGCAAAATTTAAGGACGCAACCAGGGCTCTAGCCAGTTCAAAATCTTTTTTTATCAGCCCTGGGATGAGAATGCTCACAATCTCGGGGGGAGGGGGGGTCCAGGGGCAAATTCTGGACATTCAAGCCTTTAAAAATCCAACCTCCTACATTTTGAGAGGAATACCATGGGGTTGAGAGTGGTTGTTGGTGGTCCTGTGAATGTCTCTCTATATATAAATTTTTGTCAATTTTGTCCATCAAGGTTTACTAATTAGTTTTAAAAT